GATTGTGGTATTGCCAGTGTAGGGTACTGGGCGAGCTGCACAATTTTCGTAACTACAACTCAACTTGTTCACTACATTGGCTTATTTCAGGGGTTGACGTCGCTATTTTGATTATTCTGGATGACGAGTGAATAAGTTAAAAGCATATTGCAGGAAAAATTGAAAGCCTGCGTTAAGAAGCTTATCAATGAGGAACATGCCACGGTATGGTATCAAAGGGAGTATATATGTTGGGGGCACACACACACTAAGGGCACACACACACACACACACACACACACACACACACACACACACACACACACACACACACACACACACACACATAATATATATATATATATATATATATATATATATATATATATGTATAGCTATATACCATTGCAGATTAACAAGTGTCAGCATTAGATCTTTGAACTCAAAATCTTAAAGAATCCCGAGCTCAACACATTCCTTGCTTATATCTGGTCACCTGGGTGCAGAGATGTCCACATGGCGACGAGAACGACTGGAACATTCAGCATCCTTCATCTGCAGCCCACCTTCACGCCGAAACGGAGAAGCCAAATCACGAGCTTGGATTTCCGCGTGGTTTTGAATGTCTGCAGAGCGGCAAATATCGTAACCACGCTGAGACAGTTTATCGTGGTTGAACCGACAATCTTGCAGTGCTCGGGTTGTTCCTGTCGTTAATCGTCGAGAAAAGTTCAGCGGTGTCAAGGGCAGAGCTGGACAGCACACTGGAGTGGGTTGTACGCCAATGCGTCGGTGGCCGCTGCGCTCCCATCACCCCCGAGGTCCAGTTCAGGTCGAACTGGCGATCATTCACTGATGACCAACGCGTTCTCGTCGGCGACGTAATAAACCAGTGGTTGCTAGTTTTGGAGATAGATGGCAGGCTGGAGGAAATCACCTGACTTGCTAATGCCGCTGTGACGCTGCGCGTTCAGTACAGATGCTAGAAATACGAGCGTATACCCACGACGTAGCCAGTGACTCATTTCCGCGGTAGAGGTATTGGTTGTTGGACAGGCGGCTTGCAATCTTCAGAGGGCATCCTTAATTGAGCGATCACCGGGCAACATTTGACACCTTGTGAAATACGCCGTATAAGTCAGGCTTATGCAAACCATATGCGTCACGGTGGTGCGAAATTCGGTCTGAACAGATCTTCCACGCGTCTATGATGGTCACCTGATGATGGTATGATGGTCACACGCGACTTGGAAAACGCCACTGAAAACCAGACGGACGGAGTTGGAACAAATGATGCTGCGGTTAAAGAGCTTGTAAAGCTCTTGATGTTTGACCGAGGTACAATAAGTACGCATATGATTAAAAGTAAATACGACTGTAGGTATGCATAACTATGAGCATGGGTGAATACAAGAGCGAAGGCGGCTTAAAGCAGATTTCATATCAATACGAGAGTAGCAACAGCTTTATTCCTCGAAGAGTGGCCAGGAAAAGGGACAGAGATGTACTGATCTTTTGGCTACATGCCTTCATCGAAACCGATAAAAGCGTGAAACAAAGTTTTGATAAAGATGTGAAGCGAGGTTTCCATAAAGGTATGTAGTCGAAATATTATTACATCTATCTGTTCATCTATTATTTTCCTCCTATTTTACGTGGAGTAAGGCTATAAGTACCGCCTGAACTATATGTATAATTTCCTCGCAAAGCACTTGACTATTTTCAGATTTGTTATCTAACTGCTTCACTGCTTTTGATCAGCTTCATACAATGTTCCTATTCTTAGTTCAGCACCGTTATAAAGAAAATAATGGATCGGTGTATATCTGGAGTGGCATGACTAGCTCCATAAAATCACTCGCGCACGTAACCACACTGAGTAAAATGACACCGCGTGACAAAGTATAGTGTTGCTCGTAAAGAAGGAGATACAACAAAAGGAAAATAACCAAAGGCAATAATTATGCACCAAAACTCAAAGAGTATTTAATTTCAACAAATTACTCTCACAGTCATCTTCTCAAAACGCCTTGGAGAGCTTTTTGGGACGTCCAATTCCACGCCCGATAGCCTAGGACGCAGTTTGCCAGCCTGGTAGACCAGGAGGCAGCCTGCTATCCGGGCAGGAGGCTCGGTAGGCCAGCCATCGTCTGCCAGCCTGGTAGACCAGGAGGCAGCCTGCCGTCCGAGCAGGAGGCTCGGTCAAGCTAGATGCAAGCTAGGTGATTGTTCGGGACCGAGAGTGCACGCGTGATCGGTATATCTTTATCTCGCGTTTGCGTTCTGTGTGTGTATGAGCGTGCTCTGATTGCATGAGGGAGTTTTTGTCTGCTGGGGGTCGTTCTAAACGTGCCTTGTCTTTTATCTACGACTTGACACTCAGAATAGCCACCTAACGTGCTGGAGTGTTGTAATGAAAATACATTCACAAGTGCGTACAGCCGGCAGCCGTCGTCCGCTGATGGTCCCTCCTTCCGTCACCAGACCTGGCTCCTCGCTCCCGTCTTCAGCCCTGCTCCCCGCTCTTGACCCGGCACCCACTCTTATCGCCAGTCTGGGCCGTCCGGTCCTGTCTCCGCTCCTGTCCCCGCTCACGGCTGCCGCTCCTGTCTCCGCTCCTGTCCCCGCTCATGTCTCCGCTCCTGTCCTCGCCCTTGGCTACCGCTTCTGGACGCCGTGGCAGGTTCCGCCGCCAGCCCTGCTGCTGCTCCCTGTCCCCGCTCCTGGCTACCGCTTCTGGACGCCACGGCAGGCTCCGCCGCCAGCCCTGCTGCCGCTCCCTGTCCCCGCTCCTGGCTACCGCTTCTGGACGCCACGGCAGGTTCCGTCGCCAGCCCTGCTGCCGCTCTTTGTCTCCGCTCGCCAGCCGGACCGTCACCCTGCAGACCGACCAGGCGGAGGCTCTGCAGGGTGACGGCCACAGCCGGGCGGCGTGCTCGTCACGCCGTGCGGCCGCCGCCGGCCGCGTCTGCCGGCAGCTGACGTAATAGTGGCCGCTGGCGCCGGCTAGCTCCGGGTCTAGCGCGCAGAACAGGCTGGTCCTGGCGCCGGCCGCCGGCGTCTTGAACAGCGGTCTAAACGGCCATACCAAGCAGCGTTGCCATCCCGACAAATTCCGGCCGATCTCGGTGCGCGCTGTTCCCGGATGAACGGCGTAGACGGTGACACTGGTGCCGGCCAGGCGGCGGGACAGCTCTCGGACGAACAACACGTTGGCCAGCTTGCTCTGCGCGTAGGCCTTCCACAAGCTGTAGCCGCGTGTTAGCTGCAGGTCGTCGAAGTGCATGCGGCCCGTCTTGTGCGCGTCGGAAGAGAGGACCACGACGCGGGCGGGTGCCGACGCCTTCAGCTTACCGAGCAGCAGCAGCGTCAGCAGGAAGTGGCCCAGGTGGTTGACTCCGAACGTCGTCTCGAAGCCGTCTTCAGTCTCGCTGCGCTCAGATGCGGCGACGCCAGCGTTGTTGATGAGCAGGTCGAGCCGCTGCTCCCGTTCGTTGATGGCGGCTGCGCGCGCGCGCTGACGCCAGCGAGGCCAGGTCCAGCTGGAGGAGCTCGAGCGAGCCGAGCCTGGTGCGGTCGGCGGCGTCCCACTCCAGCCGTTCGCAGGCCGCCTGGCCGCGCGCATCCGAGCGCACGGCCAGCAGCACGCGCGCGCCGCGCTCGTACAGGCCTCGCGCCGTCTCGAGGCCGAGCCCGGTGTTGGCGCCAGCAACCAGCGCCGTCTGCCCGTCTAGCCGGCCGGTCACCGCCGCCCCGCCAGGCATGGCGCTGATGTGGCACGCTGTCGGGGCCCGGCGGGGACTCGGGGCACACCCGGCGCAGCAGCACACCTGGCGTCGCTCACGGCACACCGTCGGCTCACGGGCCGCTGCTGCCTTCACGAGCACAGTCGCGCCGAGTACCGCCCCATCTCTCCCCCCCCCCCCCCACCCCTCCCACCTGCCGGCGCAGACAACGGTCGTTCGCGTGGAGGTGCAAATGTGCGTTGAGATTAGCTGTTCCGGTAAGCTCCCACCACGCTGTGCAACATTTGCGGCAGCTCATCCCAATCCCAAGGTGTCCGAGTTTAGAATGCATCAGCCGTGTGCATTGTCATATGGCCTGTACCGTTCGCCTTGGTTGTCACCATAGCGGGACGTGCGTGGGTTTTTCCACCGAGCAACGCATAAGGCGCAGCATGCGTGTGATGCGCGTATTCGTCCAGCTGACTGCACCATGGTGTGATGTGTGAATAAATGAGGGCCGAATTGTGCAGATATGGAGAAAAACAAACCCCAATTTCGCATCTCCAGGACAGCCTCTCAGGTCATCGCTACATCTCAGGTCAATTACTGGAGCTATCGGGGGCTTTGGGTGCGTGGTCATGTGTCACTAGTCGTGGCTTGTCATGACTCACGATGCCTGGCAAATGAAGACCATGACGATCTGGACCTGGCATTCGCTCTACAAGACGAGTTACAATGTTCCTTGTGCTGCGATCATATATTGACCCATTCCATGCAGGGCCATTCCCTCCCCTCCCTCATCTGGTCTTCCTATCTCAACACGAGACTGTTTCAGCCAGAATGTTAAAATATGGTAAATTATCTGTCAATTTAACACACCCTGACAACGTTTGCCTCACAAACCGCCGTCCTCTCATGACTTAAACTGTCAACGGACATCAGCTTTGCCGATGTTGACGACGGCAACGTTGTGACAACTGATGTGTTGAAGAGCGCTCTTTGCTGAGGCGTTAACCCATCCACGTTACTATCGCCACGAAGGTTTACGCATCACATCTCCGCTGGCGCCAGCTATCACCATTGACGTGGGACCTTTCTGGAAGGATAGCCCACTTGGTATGTCCTCTGAGCAGGGGTAAATTTTCCTGTTTTCATGTACAAGGAGAGTGAATTTTACTCCCAGCATGAAGGTAAACCCATAATAAGTGCGCCCCGGCAGTGGGTTAGAAAAAGGAAACTCTCCCGGCTTGAGACATTATCCCTCCATTGCATAACACCGTCCGCCGCAAAGTTCTCGTCTGGTACCATCAGCTCGACGGCGTGAGAGAAAACACGTCCTCCGTTGATGATATTAATTACCCCAATCGGAAACTCTCCAGCACGAATTGTTTTGAGCCCAAATATTTACGCCCTTAATATCACGATGCGCAAACTATGACTCATAAATGACAATGGTACCGATGTTGACATACCAGCCTATATGTTGTCACGTTTGTGCGCAACGCTACGTAACAATGACCGTTTGCACTCAGGCAAATTTGTGTTTTTGGTGCAAGTGCTTCAACTCAACAAATACAAAGCTTGGCACCACCGCACGGATGAGAATGGCTATTACGAGGACGACTGACATACTGCAATGTTTCAATGTTTTGGCACAGTTTGCTAGCACCCGTTGGCCGTACCAGCATACATCATACAAAGGACGTCTATTAGTGAATTGCGCTTCCAATGCCACCGGCAGCAGCTTAAACACGGAATTTTGGTAAAATGCACGGAGCCATGGCGATCATACCAGAAGGTTTTGCGAATATTCATTTCGAAACGGCTGAGAGCTGCATCATGGCTCAATAGGAGTACCCCACCTTTTGTACCTTTACTGTTACATCAGACGCGTACGATTTGGTTAGAAATGGAAATTTTCTTTGAATCCTTCTGAACAGCTCAGATTTAACATTCTGTTTTTTTCATTTTATTCATTCGCTATCATTCTGAAATTTACATTTGAATTAGCCATCCTGCGGGAGAAATCTCACTTGACTCCCTGCTCACCGATATGAAAGTAATACATTTGATTTGCCTTGCCTTTCGCAATGTATGGGTTCAGCGGTGATGGTAACGACGTGCATGCCCAGTAGCGTCATCAGAAATCGGCGTATCACCGGTGTTCGGTGTTCGGTGTGAAATGGTGTCCATCCCCGCAACTGGCAATATCATGAAAACAACCGAAACGTTTACTTATGCAATGTCTTTCAACTACTGCCAGGATAACTGCTGCTGCGAAGAATGCAGGCACACCGGTTCTAGACAAGGCGATAGTCCAATCACGGAAGCAGGTTTCTTCTACCCTCGATACTTGTCGAGGCCTTACATTTCAGCTTGATCCACGGCTGGATTTGCTGTCCTCAAACGCGAAAAAAACGCCGAAGGACCTCGACAGCGAGGGCACCTGAGTACATGGCAGAAGCCCAGCGGCTGGCGGGCAGCACTGGGGATGACTCCCAGCATGCAAGTCTCTTCCAGGCCATGTCCCCTTAAGAACATCAGGTGTGCACTTTGAGTCCCACCCCCATGGGTGTAGGAAAGGGGAGGCCAGGGGCCGATGCCCCTACCCCCCACACTTTTCGTGGTGGGGTGCAGCGATATTAACTCCCCCCCCCCACTTTTTCAGATTTAAGTTGCGTTTAGCTTACTGCTGTACTACCAAAACATGCACGCCGATTTACCTACTTCACCATCCATCTTTCTGAAGATGCGTCATATTTTCTGTTTGCGTGTTGGCCGTCGCTTGGTGTCACAGCCGCTGGGCCGACGGCGCATGGCCTATAGAGGCTGAAATGCCGGGCGTCGAAGCTGTTGTGAAGATTTGCGAGCCTGCGTGTTGATACCTATATTACATCATTTTTATCAGCAATTAATCCTGTTCGAATGCAATATATTTTAAGGCGAACATGGGTTAGCCATGTCAATATTTAAGGGGTTCCCAGTATCTCTGAACAACAAAAATATGGAATTTGAGTCTATTCGAGTCTACTTTGGTCTATTGCCATTGGAGCCTATTTTATTTTGACGATTATTGGACCGCCTGTGGCGATCAGGAATGTTCTTGCGTCAGTAAGGATCCTGTGCCAACCGCGCGGGTCAGAAGGCCTCCACGTCAGGAGGGAGAACAAGGTGTTGTGATGTATCCCTCAAAGCGGCTCCGGATCGACCATGGGGTCCTGCCCGTGTCACCAGAATGACAGCCGGAAGACATCCTGCGATGGGACAAAATGGCCCTTCAGTCCTTTACTAAGAGCAGTAACATGCCCTCAGTGTTTTATACAAGAGGTCCCTTGCCCGGAGTAAGGGAAGGGGTCTCCTTACTTTTGAATAGGACTCGTCCAAATGAGTAAAAAATGGACAAGGCTATCTCATGTAAGTCTGAGAAGTTCATTGTTTTGCAAAATTGATTAGTGGAACACGTTACATCAGAAGATTTAAGCGTGCCCGCCCGCAATCTCGGAAGCGAAGACTGTGGTGGCCTGGGTTGCAGCTTCCGTAAAACCGAACGGCGTCGGCCGCTGCAAGTGACACCAGGAGACAAGCGCCGTGGTTAATCTGTCCGATTAGCAACACAGCAGCACGAAAGCACAGCAGCAGCACAGATCACAGCATCATGAAAAATAAAGATCCTATGTCTACTCTTCCAGCTCCACCACCAGACTTCACCACCACTTCGCGGCGCTGTAAGTGGCAATTCGAACTTATCATGAATATAACAGTATCACATACGAAGTATACGCCCATACTACCCCGAACGAAAGATTTAATGTCCTTAAGTGTACAAAGGTACTCCTTTCAAAAGCGTCTGCCTTTGTCCGCTCGTTGACCACGGCCCAATATTAGCCACTGCGCAGGCCTAAGGAGACTGCAACGCCTTGTGTCGAGGTTTGCGTTGCTGATATTTGCGAATGCGCGTGCTCAAAATGCGTAACATAGCTTGTATTATGAATCAACTTAAGAGCTCAAATGTACGCTATTCAGAAGCGTTATCATTTTCATCCACACGCTGGTCACAACTCAGTACTGTTGGACCGGCGCTGCGCGGCCTACGGAGACTGCAACGCCTGGCGCCGAAGCTTTTGTTGCAAAGATTTGCGAGCTCGCATGCTCAAAACTGCATTACATATTTTGTATCGCCAAACGTTTGTGACTGAATGTTGAATGTTTCCAGACAAACATAAATTGGGCATATCAATACACGTTTTTTTACACATTTCGACTTATAATATACGTTCGCGGGGTCCTTAATATGGGTGCGGAGCCCATCTAAAAATATGATAAAGTTTCTGAATAATATTGATTTAGAAAGAATCCACCGAACCATTGTAAAGTAGGAGCGCCAGTAAGTTATTCCGTGCAATTTTATAACGCCTGATTTCTGCAGTTTATTGACTTTAAGATACAAGCAGCATAGATTACCTAGCCCAACCCTTATCATAATCTCCACTATGCCTTAGGCATGCTCCAAGCGTGGCGCGGCATGTGGTTCCTGGTGGGCGCCTTTCGTTTCGCTTCAGCACTTGGTGTATGTAGGTTTAAACAGGATTTCTAGGCTGCCTGGAAAGGTAGAAGCAGTATACTGGGTTCCGGGTTGGTCTCAGATTGAGGTGAAGGCGACTGCACAAGTGCTGGGCAAGAGGTAGTGAGGACGTGCCGGAAGAACGATGCACGGGGTCACGGAAAGATGGGATTACAGAGTTGTCTGAGAAAAGAAATGATAGTCGTTTCATTTTCTTGTCACGCTGAGTAAAACAAAATAAAAAAGCGATCATGTACGGCTGCAGCACAACCATAGAATACTCATTTACTTGTTGGGGTTCGGCTAAACACGCCCACCCGTCAAAAGATGTCGCGCCAGGCTTGAAACACGCCTAGGGCATGGTGGATAGTTTGATGACGGTTGAGATGGGGCGCGGAATGCACTCGCGATTCTCATAAGAGGACATGACCTCGCGGAGGCCCCCATCTTCGATGTTATTCCCAGTGCCGCTTGCCACTGGCTCGAAATCTGCTATGCATTCTGCTACTCTGGCTATCGAGGTCCTTCGCTGTATTTTTTCGGTCGAGGAATGCAAATCCAGCCGGAGATCGAGTTTAAACGTAAGGCCTCGGCAAGTCCCGAGGGTGGAAGAAAACTGTTTTGATTGGGCTATTTTATTATCCTAGGGCAGGTGCGCCTGCTTTTTCAGCAGCAGCACTTATCCTGACATTTGTTGAAGGACGGTGTATGATTGAACGCTCCGGTTATGTGCATGGTATTGAAAATCGGAGTGATGACAGAGACTTTCGGTGATAGACTGACTTCTAATGACGCTATTGGGCATGGGCGTGATGATCATTTTGCCGTGGGATATCGTTTTAC